TCCTACCTATCGCAGTGCGCCTTCAGCATTACCTATAACGCTGCCTCCTCCTCTTCACTTAGTCTTTCTGTAGGGGTTACTCAAGGTTCTGTCCTTGGACCCCTTCTCTTCTCCATCTACACCTCCTCCTTAGGTCACTTGCTAAACTCCCATGGCTTTAAGTACCATCTCTATGCTGATGACACACAAATCTATCTTTCTACCCCTCCCCTCACCCCTTCAGTCTTCTCTTGCATTACTAACCTACTAAGCGACATATCGGCATGGATGTCACTCCACTTCCTCAAACTCAATCTTTCCAAAATGGAGCTCTTAGTATTCCCCCCAGCCCGTGCCCCCTCCCCTGACTTCTCCATCAAGATCAATAATGCAACCATCCCTCCCCATGGATGCCAGGGTGTTAGGTGTAATCCTAGACTCCCATCTGTCCTTTCACCCCCAAATCCCATCACTGTCCAAATCTGTAGACTTCACCTCTGCAACATCTCCAAGATACACTCTTTCTTAACCTCTAAAACTACTGAGAAACTTATTCACTTCCTTGTTATATCACACCTTGACTATTGTAACCGACCTCACCGCAGACTATCCCCTCTTCAGTCTATCATGAATGCTGCTGCCAGACTCATCCACCTTACTAACCGTTGTATATCTGCCACCCCTCTCTGCCAATCTCTCCACTGGCCTCCACTCAGTGTCCTCCACCCCTCTCTGCCAATCCCTCCACTGGCTTCCACTCAGTGTCCTCCACCCCTCTCTGCCAATCCCTCCACTGGCCTCCATTCAGTGTCCTCTACCCCTCTCTGCCAATCCCTCTACTGGCCTCCATTCAGTGTCCGCCACCCCTCTCTGCCAATCCCTCCACTGGCCTCCACTCAGTGTCCTCCACCTCTCTCTGCCAATCCCTCCACTGACCTCCACTCAGTGTCCTCCACCCCTCTCTGCCAATCCCTCCACTGGCCTCCATTCAGTGTCCTCCACCCCTCTCTGCCAATCCCTCCACTGGCCTCCACTCAGTGTCCTCCAGCCCTCTCTGCCAATCCCTCCACTGGCCTCCATTCAGTGTCCTTCACCCCTCTCTGCCAATCCCTCCACTGGCTTCCCATTGCCCAACGGATAAAATTCCAAACAATAACATATAAAGCCATTTATAACCCCGCCCCCAAATTACATCACCGATCTTGTCTCCAAATATCACCCAAACTATACTCTCCACTCCTCGCATGACCTGCCCTTTAGCTCCCTTATCTCCTCCTCCCATTCTAATCTCCAGGACTTCTCCAGAGCTTCCCCCATCCTCTGTAACTCTCTACCCCAATTTATCAGACTATTGCCTGCTCTGCACACTTTTAGGCAATCACTGAAAACCTCTCATTCAGGGAAGCCTATCCTGCCCTCCGCTAATAATGTAATCTTCTATTCCTTCTACCAGTCCATCCCCCACAGTTACTACCTTTTGTACCACTGGCCCCTTCCTCTTAAGAGTTCCTCTAGCAGAGATCAGGCCTGATTCTTGGAACACTGCAGTTTTGTGTGCAATGTATCAAGTGACAGTGGTCTACTGACACTGCACTTGCTGGGGGAGGGGGGGGGGGTAAGCATAGGGGCTAAGCGCAGGTGCTGGCAGGTGCCGGGGCTGATCCCGCTAATGCTGCATTTTTGGGGACAGTATACTAATGTGAATGCTGGTATAGTGCTGATCTGATCGAAGATATTGGTCCGTTCAGACACTATACTAGCAATGGAGGTATATTGTGTATGAGCGTCTTCCTGGCAATCAAAGGGTTAGATGTGATGACTGGTGTAGTGGCGGGAAATCTGACACTATCTGGGAGGAGCGCTAACTGACGCTAACGCCATCTGAAGTCGCCAGTGGCACTAATACAGTGATCAGCACAAATTCTGTACACTGTACTAATGACACCGGTGACAAGGCAGTGAAGGGGTTAACTGGGGGGGGGGGGGGGTGAGAAAGACGTTAAATGTGACCTGAGCGTGTTCTAACTGTGTTCAAGTGTGCGGATTTACTCACTGTGTCTTGTGTTCTTCTCTCTCTGGGATGGAATGTGCCCCGAGAGAGAAGATGTCATCATTTCCTGTACCTGTGTATGTGTAAACACAGGTACAGGAAGAGCCCTGATAGGCCATGGATCGATCATCCAATTCAGGCCAAACATCACTGGCCAAAATCTAATGCAGGATCCCTTGGGGACTGAATTACGGCACCCGCGTTTCGGCTGGGGCACGTGTACTCTTCCTGGGCCGTGATCACAGCGGGAGCTTGAATCACGTACTGTATGTGTATGTATATATATATATATATACCTCACCTTTAGGTGCACTCTGAACACCCATCTCTTCAGGGAAGCCTACCTCGCCTCAGCTAATTACTGAACTCCTCCACTCTTCCTACCACTCCATCCCCCACAGCTATCTCCTCCTGTGCCACTCTCCCCTCCCTCCTAGATTGTAAGCTCCAAGGAGCAGGGCCCTGGAACCCCTCGTGTTGAATCGTATTGTTACTGTACTGTCTCGTGTACTGTCTCCCATTATACTGTACAGCGCTGAGCAAACTGTTGGCGCTGTATAAATCCTGTATATTAATAATAATAATTTTGCACACCCGTGCCGCCCTGTAGTAGTATTACTGCTATACGGGGGATGGGAAACAGTTCAGAGAGGGAGATTCCTGCAGTAATTTCATCCTCTGTCCACCTGGGGGAGTTGGCCAGTAGAGGTGCAGCAGAACATCAAGGTACTCAAAGGAAGATGGCAAAACCTGTTACACTTTTGGGTAAGACTGTTGATGGAAAAGTCATGAGAGAGACTGACTGTGATTGCCCAAAATGCTATGGGGGTGACCCCAACTGGGAGACCTACCGTCTGTGTGAAAAATGACTTTCCTCAGTGCAGTGCCCTGTGTAGTGGGGAGGAAAGAGTTGAACATGAATCTGTTGATGTGATCCTACTGATGAGTATGATATTGCTGCTGTGTATACACCTGTGTCAGTTGAACAAAGAGTATATGAGGCCGCAGAGCTGTCCCTAGAAACCTCCAGGGAGCTTTGTGTATTGGATCCCGAGGTTGCCCAGGACAACTATGGTGCTGCTCTGATGGACAAGAGCGTACTTGAATCTAGTGAGGAAAATGTGTTAAATGCTAATGATTACTTCTTCATCTTTTTTTAGCTTTTTCTTTGACATGTCTGACCAGGAGGTCTTAGAGCTTGGAGACATACCACCTTAGGGGTCCTACATTAAGCTCCTTGGTTGTTGTGATTCTGATTCTGAGAATAAAACCTCTGATTGATCAATGCGCCCCTGGAATCTGTTTTTACTTTAGAAGTTTTCCTATCAGGATCTGGCGAGGTCTGGTGTAGAGTTGTCTCTGCAGCATTGTATGGGAAGCCGTATCCTCCCTTGTGGCAGCAGTTTGTAATGTCTACAAGGAGAAAGATTTAGTAGGTCCTATAATGAAAATGTCCTTTAAGATGAAGTAAACCTTTCACTTTAAATGTGAACTTACTGACAACACGCTCTCATCAACTTTAACTAATATTCAAAATTATTTAAAATAAACCAAGCAAAATGTATTTATTAATATAGACAAATACATCTACATACAATATAATTACAGTGACCCTGACACCAAACAAAACTGCATTACAATCCGCTTATGAAAGAACATGTATGATATTTATCTTTCTGGAAGGTGGTGAGTGAAATCTTCCCTCTCTGGAAGAGTGATGGGTGTCACTGGTATCTGACACTTTAGGATGTTTTGGATACTCTCCCATCTCTGGTCACTGTGGTTCCTCCTCACTAAGTGACTACATTGTTCTGTAGTGATGTAATGGCTGGTGGGAGGAACCACTACACCCAGCAAGGGACAAGGCTTCTAACAAACCCAAAGTATCTGATACCAAAGGTGTTCAGTGCAAAAATCACCCTCACTGTCCACCATCTTAATTCGTTCCAGAGAAGTATTAAATGTTTATATATAACAATGTTCATTCTCAATACACTAGCAAAATACTAAAATGAACAATAATAGAGATAATGCCATAACTACAGGTAGCCCAGTGTTGCTCCATACATATCAGCGGATAACTGTCTTTGTATTCAGGTCAGGTCTGAACAGAATTATGTAACATTTTGGGAAGAATATACAGCCAAGAAGTCCAGAACTTGATGCCATTATAGCAAAGACCTCCACAGCCACCATGTATTTCCCTCTGGTGCTCAGATAGGCCGGGATCATGGCAATCCAGACACTGCAGAACACCAGCATGCTGAAGGTGATGTACTTGGCCTCATTAAAACTGTCCGGTAATGTCCTGGCTATAAAAGCTATAATGAAGCTCACAGCTGCCAGAAGCCCCATATATCCCAGGACAGAGTAGAAGCCGATAACTGAACCCTCATTACACTGAATGATGATCTTCCCCTGATAAGAGTGAGTGTCTCGATCCTGGAAGGGGGGAGAAATAGACAACCAAGTGACACAGATTATGACTTGGACCAGTGAGAAGACACAAATGATACAATTGGGCAGTTTGGTTCCCATCCATTTCCTCCAGGGACTCCCAGGTTTGGTGGCTTTAAAAGCAATACACACCATGATACTTTTGGCAAGTAGAGAAGAGACGGCAACTGAGAAGATGACACCAAAAGAGGTGACACGCAGCATGCAGGTCACATCTACTGGATGGCCGAGGAACAAGAAGACACAGAGGAAGCTCAGCATGATGGAGACCAGGAGAAGATAGCTCAGGTTCCGGTTATTGGCTTTAACAATGGGGGTGTCCCGGTAATGTATAAATATCCCCAATATTAAACCAGTCAGAAGACAACAGAGGATGGAGATGGCTGAAAATACTGCAACAATGGTGTCATCAGTGTAGGAGAGAAATTCCACCACTCTTGGAACACACCGATCCTTCTTCTCATTTGGCCATTCATCATCAGGACATTTTATGCAATCTTCACTGTCTGCAGGAAGAACAATACAAACACAATGAGCATCGGGGTCAGAGTCTTAGAACACACATTAAAAAGATTAATTTTAGAACACACATTAAAAAGATTAATTTATTTGAGATATAGCGATAGATAGATAGATAGATAGATAGATAGATAGATAATAGATAGATAGATAGATAGATAGATAGATAGATAGATAGATAGATAGATAGATAGATAGATAGATGATGTGCCTAATGGGAAGTGCTAAAAAAAAATGTTGGTTCCATAAGGACACAATAAAGAGTGAAAAGACTAATAATAGAATGCACAAGAATTGTGTTATAGGCAGAAATGTGATAATTGGGAGTTTCAGTTGAAATTGTCATAAAACCCTGATAATGAACATATTTTCTACCCTTGGTGGTCTGTTAAATCCCTGACCCACCACCAAAACGTTCATGCTGAACCATGTTACAGGCAGCAGAACGTTCTCCATGACTTCTCCAGACCCTTTCACGTCTATCACATGTGCTCAGGGAGAACCTGCTCTCATCTGTGAAAAGCACAGGGCGCCAGTGGTGGACCTGCCAATTCTGGGGTTCAATGGCAAATGCCTATTGAGCTCTATGGTGCTGGGGAGTGAGCACAGGGCCCACTAGAGGACGTTGGGCCTTCAGACCACCTTCATGAAGTCTGTTTCTGATTGTTTGGTCAGAGACATTCACACCAGTGGCCTGCTGGAGGTCATTTTGTGGGGCTCTGGCAGTACTCATCCTGTTCCTCCTTGCACAAAGGAGCAGATACCGGTCCTGCTGATGGGTTAAGGACCTTTCTATGGCCCTGTCCAGCTCTCCTAGACTAACTGCCTATCTTCTACATGCTCTTGAGACTGTGCTGGAAGACACAGCAAACCTTCTGGCAATGTCACTTATTGATGTGCCATCCTGGAGGAGATGGAC